AAGAATTTCATGAAACAACATATGAGCAAGAGCCTATGGTGATGAAAGAAGAAGTTCAGGCTGCTTTGAAGGAAATGGCAAAAAATAAGGCTCCTTTGTGTTTCTAGTTAGATTTACTTCCAAGGATTTAATCTTGTAATTAACTATTGTGATGGGTATTGTTTTCCTTAGCTCCAGTTCTATATTCTTTTTGGCACTGTAGAGAAATGCAATTGATTTTTGTATGTTGATCTTGTACACTGCCACTTTGCTAAATTGGTTGACTATTTCCAGTAGTTTTCTTGCTGAGTCTTTAGGGATTTCTGAGTATACTTATATCATCTGCATATAGAGATAATTTTACCTCCTCTTTGCCAATTTGGATACTTTTTATTTTCTCCTCTTATTGCTACCACTAAGACTTCTGATACAATATTTAATAGGGAGGTAATAGTGGGCATCTTTGCCTATTTCCTGTTCTCAAAGAGAACGCCTTTAATCTCTCTCCATTGAGAACAGTGTTGGCTCTCAGGTTTGTGTATATAGTTTTTACTATGTTGAGGAAATTCTCTTCTATTCCTATTTTATTGAATATTTTAATCAGGAAAGGGTGTTGGATTTTGTCAAAGGCATCAACTGATAGGATCATGTGGGTTCTTTTTTTTTTTTTTTTGCTTTATTAATGTGATGAATTACACTGATTATTTTTCTTATGTTGACCCATCCTTGCATACCTGTTATAAATCTTACTTGGTCATGGTGAATTATTTGTTTGATTTATCTTTGGATTATATTGGCTAGGATTTTATTCAGGATTTTTGCATCCATGTTCATGAGCGATATTGGCCTATAGTTTTCTATTGTGATCATGTCCTTTCCTGGCTTTGGTATCAAGGATATGTTTGCTTCATAGAATGAGTCTGGGAGAATTCCATCTTTTTCTATTTTCTGAAATAGTTTATGTAGAATTGTAACAGTTGTTCTCTGAATGTTTGATAAAATTCACTTGTAAAACCACTGATCCAGGGCTTTTTTTGGCTGGAAGTTGTTTTATTACCTTTTCCATTTCTTCTTTTGTAATGAGTCTGTTCAGGTGTTCCATTTTGGTTTGGTAGTTTAGGTAGTTTATGATTTTCTAAGTATTTGTCCATTTCCTCTACATTTTCATATTTGTTTTGAGTACAGTTTTTCATAATATTACATCATTAACCTTTTTATTTTAGTTGGTTCTGTTGTGACATTGCCTGTTTCATCTTTTATTCAGATTATTTGTGTCTTTTCTTTCTTTTGTTAGTTTTGCTAGTAGTTTGTTGATTTTATTGACCTTTTCAAAGAACCAATTCCTGGTTTTGTTGATGGTTTAAGTTGTTTTTGTTTTTTCTGTTTCATTTATTTCTGCCCTAATTTTTATAATTTCAGTTATTTTGAAGGATGTCGGGTTTTCTTGCTGTTCTTTTTCAATTTGTTGGAGATGTTGGTTAGAGAGTCAATGGTAATTATTTTCCTGTCTTTTAATGTGTTTGCTTATTGCTATAAATTGACCTCTGATTACTTCTTTGACTATTTCCCAGAGGTTTTTGTAAGTTGTCTTTTCATTGTCATTTGTTTCAAGAAACTTTATAATTTCATTTTTTATTTCTTCCAGTACCCATTATAGCTTCTGACATGCCTCCAGGTAACAAGCCCCAAGGCAGAACCGAAACCAGTTGGGCCCGAGGGCTGCAGGCCCTCGGGCCAAGAAGAAAAACAATCTATACAGGAGTTCTACAGGACACATCACCTTCCCTTCGGAGACAGTACAAGTAAACTTAAGAGACACTGGACACAGGGGGGAAAAAACACCAAAAACCAAAATCTCTCAGCGTTTGACGTGGTTGGAATCACAGGAGAGAAGAAAGCATCAGATACAAGCTGTCAGGTCATGGGTCGGACAATGAAAGATTAATTCTGAAGGCATTTTGTAGAAGTGAAGTGGTATCCTCCTGGAGGGTGGAGCTGGGAATAAGTAGGTCAAGGCACTGGGCTAAGGGTGGGGACTACACTGTAACTAATGGTCAACTCCAAAATGAGAGATTTATCTTTCACTACTCCACAAATAGCTGTCTGTCAGGTACTCCTCTAAATCTAAATATTCAGATTAAGACAGACTAGGAAGAAGGATTGGCCATCCACTTCTGAAATGGCAGGCCTCTGAAAACCCTATGTACAACACAACACATGTAGACGAACAGAAAGGACAACCTAGGTAGAACTTTCAAGCACGGAAATACAAAGGAAGAGGAACAGTTGTAAGCAGACACTAGTAATTGGAACATGGAATGTGAATAGAGGAAAATTAGAAATTGGTAAGAAAGAAATGGAACGCATAAATATTGACATACTAGGCATTGGAGAGATGGGATGGACTGGTATGGGGCATTTCAAGTCAGATGATCATATGATATATTATTCTGGAGACGAAAAGGTGAGGAAAAATGGAGTTGCTTTCATAGTCAAAAAAGAAATTTCTAG